TCCAGATTCTTGAAAATTTCTTGTAATTTTATAACTTTTCAGTTGAGAATTTATAACAATTTGTGGAAAATATGCATATTCTAGAACCAAAAAAAAAAAAATAATTTGAAGCCTCTGAATTTACAAAATGTATTTGTCACTGAAGATTAATCCATTCTACATCCAGATGTGTGAATGAAAATAACTAGAAATATTAAATGTTTTTATTTTAAAATGCATTCCTAGTAAGAACATTTTTTTTTATTAAAGAGACTTTCAGCCTTTGGGCTACAAAATGGTGAGTTGACAACCTGGAAGGAGCGGAATACCTAGCCCTGGTCCTCACAAGTTCCTACTTCACGCCTCCTCGAGTCATATGATAACAAAAGACTACCAGCTGAAACATGGACACAGCTGGTTGGCGTAGCCTGGGCAATGTTGCCAGTCCGGCAATAGCAAAGTGAAGAGGTGCGACGCGAACACTGGCGCGGTAACCATAGTACGGTCATAGAGGAAATGCTTCACCAAACCTGAGCGTCTGTTGAGGTGCGGCTCAAAACGGCGTCTGTTCTCCATGTTAGGAGCGGCTGATCACCGTCCTAGTGCCAGCGTGGGACTCTAAACAGAGCTGTGCACGATGGTCCCCCGGCGAGACAGGGGGTTGGGGCAGGCCCAACAAGCCGCCCTGAAAAAAAAAACAAAGTTGCAAATACCGAAGAAAGAAATACGGATCGGAACAATCGGCACAGACCTACGCGACGAAATAAGGACTACGATTGGAAACTCGGAACATGGAACTGCAAATCGCCCGGGTTGCGATAGGTTAATCTATGACGAACTTCAACCACGCAACTTCGAAGTCGTAGCACTGCAGGAACTTTGCTGGAAGGGAGAAAAGGTATGGAAAAGCGGGCATCGAGCGGCTACTTTCTACCAGAGGTGTGGCATCACAAACGAGCTGGGAACCGGCTTTGTAGAGCTGGGTAAGATGCGCCAACGCGTGATTGGTTGGCAGCCGATCAACGCGAGTTGAGGATTAAGGGCCGTTTCTTCAACTACAGCATCATCAACGTGCACTGCCCACACGAAGGGAGACCCGACGACGAGAGCGTTCTATGCGCAGCTGGAGCAGGTGTACGCCGGCTGTTCGCAACGGGACGTCAAAATCGTCATCGGCGACATGAACGCTCAGGTAGGACGGGAGGAAATGTATAGACCGGCAATCGGGCCAAACAGCCTGCATGCCGTATCGAACGACAACGGCCAACGATGCGTGAACTTTGCAGCCTCCCGGGGTATGGTAGTTCGAAGTACCTTTTTCCCCCGCAAGGATATCCACAAAGCCACCTGGATATCACCTGACCAACACACAGAAAACCAAATCGATCACGTTCTAATCGATGGGAAATTCTTCTCCGACATAATCAACGTCCGCACGTACCGCAGTGCGAACATAGATTCGGACCACTACCTAGTTGCAGTATGCATGCGCTCAAAACTCTCGACGGTGCATAACACACGTCGAAGTCGAACGCCACGACCCAACATTGAGCAACTACGGGACACCGGAGTTGCCCAGGAATACGCGCAGCAGCTGGAAATTGCACTACCCACGGAAGAGCAGCTTGGCGCAGCTTCTCTTGAAGATGGCTGGAGGGACATCCGTTCAGCCATAGGTAGTACTGCTTCAGCGGCACTAGGTACTGCAATCCCGGACCGAAGAAATGACTGGTTTGACGGCGAATGCAAACTGTTAGTAGAGGAGAAGAATGCAGCACGGGCGAGAATGCTGCAACACCGCACGAGATTGAATGTGGAGCGATACAGACAAGCGCGGAACAGACAAAACTCGGTTTTCCGAAGGAAGAAGCGTCAGCAGGAAGACCGAGATCGCGAGGCGATGGAAAATCTGTACCGCGTAAACGACACACGGAAGTTCTACGAGAAGCTAAATAGTTCGCGCAAAGGCTACGTGCCGCAAGCCGATATGTGCAAGGACTTGGACGGTAACCTTCTCACGAACGAGTGTGAGGTGATTGAGAGGTGGAAGCAGCACTATGACGAGCACCTCAACGGCGAAGCAGCAGAAAACGAAGGTGGCACGGCAACAGACCTTGGAGCACGCGCAGAAGACGACAGGCTACCGGCCCCTGATCTTCAAGAAGTTGAGGAGGAGATCGGTCGGCTGAAGAACAACAAAGCAACTGGTGTAGATCAACTACCAAGTGAGCTATTGAAATACGGTGGTGAAGCACTGGCTAGAGCGCTGCACTGGGTAATTGCCAAGATTTGGGAGGAGGATATATTACCGGAGGAGTGGATGGAAGGTGTCGCATGCCCAATCTACAAAAAGGGCGACAAGTTGGATTGCTGCAACTACCGCGCGATCACACTGCTGAGCGCCGCCTACAAGGTACTCTCCCAAATTCTATGCCGCCGTCTGTCACCATATGCAAGAGAGTTCGTGGGGCAATACCAGGCGGGATTCATGGGTGCCCGCGCTACCACGGACGAAGTTTTCGCGATTCGGCAGGTTCTGCAGAAATGCCGCGAATACAACGTGCCCACACATCATTTGTTCATCGATTTCAAATCCGCATACGACACAATCGATCGAGATCAGCTATGGCAGATTATGCACGAGTACGGATTTCCGGATAAACTGACGCGATTGGTCAAGGCGACGATGGATCGAGTGATGTGCGTTGTTCGAGTATCGGGGACACTCTCGAGTCCCTTTGAATCTCGAAGAGGGTTACGGCAGGGTGATGGACTTTCGTGTCTGCTGTTCAACATCGCATTAGAAGGTGTGATCAGAAGAGCTGGGATAGACACGAGTGGCATGATGTTGAGGAAGTCCATCCAGCTTCTTGGCTTCGCCGATGACATTGACATTATGGCACGGAACTTTGAGATGATGGCGGAAACGTACATCAGACTGAAGGCTGAAGCTAGACGGATTGGACTTGACATCAACGCATGAAAGACAAAATACATGAAAGCAAGAGGTTCTAGGGAAGACAATGTTAGCCTCCCACCCCGAGTTCAGATTGACGGTGACGAAATCGAGGTGGTCGATGAGTTCGTGTATTTGGGCTCACTGGTGACCGCCGAAAATGATACCAGCAGAGAAATTCAAAGACGCATTATGGCAGGGAATCGTGCCTACTTTGGACTCCGGAGGACGCTCCGGTCGAATAAAATTCGCCGCCGCACGAAGTTGACTGTCTACAAGACGCTGATTAGACTGTCTACAAGACGCTGATTAGACTGTCTACAAGACGCTGATTAGACGCTGATTTACGGCCACGAGACCTGGACTATGCTCGTGGAGGACCAACGCGCCCTTGGTGTTTTCGAACGGAAGGTGTTGCGTACCATCTACGGTGGAGTGCAGATGGATGACGGAACGTGGAGGAGGCGAATGAACCACGAATTGCACCAGCTGCTGGGAGAACCATCCATCGTCCACATTGCAAAAATTGGGCGGCTACGGTGTGCTGGGCACGTCGTTAGAATGCCGCACGACGACCCAGTGAAAATGGTTCTAGAAAGCGACTCAACAGGAACAAGAAGAAGAGGCGCGCAGCGGGCAAGGTGGATCGACCAAGTAGAAGGTGACCTGCGGACCCTTCGCAGACTACGAGGCTGGCGAACTGTGGCCATGGATCGAGTAGAGTGGAGACGACTTCTTCGGACAGCAGAGGACAACAAGGCCTTAGCCTGATTGAAGAAGAAGAAGACTTTCAGCCTTGGACTGGTTTGTCTCTAGTAAGAAAATTATTAAATTTCCTGATTAATGATAAGATTCCCTTGTGGGCGACCCCGGCGTAGTGGTTAACATCCATGCCTCTCACGCCAAAGTCACGAGTTCAAATCTCACCCCCGGAAAAGTCACGAATAACCCAAGAGTGTTAAAGTGACTATAATAAAAAACAAAAATCCCTGAGAACTTCCGGTTTTTCTGGTTTTGCCAGGTAGTTGAAGCTTGGAGGTTTAGTCATAAACTTTCTATTGAATTTTTCGCTTTAAAGGTTCCTATCGTACATATTTAAGTGTTTATGAGATTCTAATTGAATAAGTCTAATGAGAACGACTAATTTTCTAACCTTAAGTCAGTTTTTAGTCAATTCTTTTTTATAACTATAAGTCACTATTTGGTCACTTATTGCTTCAACTTGGCACTAAAATCACTATGTTTGACAGCATGGATCGCTACCAGCCCTGATGTCGGGTAAATGAGCATCCATTGGCTGTTTTTGGCTACTAAAATTTAAACGTTAATTTCACTGTATTTTCTGGCCAAAACAGGTCGCTGAATGTATTTAAACAATTCCTTAGTTGGCTTCATTCTGATTACATTTAAAAAACTTTTCAAATTAAATACACGCGCTAAAAATGCGGCTAGCGGCGCCGGTTGTGTAGTGGTAAGCGTGATTGTCTTTCACCCCAGCAGGTCTGGGTTCAATCCCAGTCGGCGCCGCCGGGATGTTCTGAGGCATAACTTCTCTGATCACACCTTCCTTCGGAAGGGAAGTAAAGCCGTTGGTTCCCGGTTCATGAGTTGATGGGTCGATAGGTAGGGTCCAGCTGTGGGAGCTGCCTCCCTGGCATCGGTAGCATTGGTGCACAGCACGCAAAACAAGATCGACGGAAAACAAATCAAAGAAAAAAAATGCGGCTCATTTCGAGCTGCCGATAATAGAACAGCTGGTTAACACGCTATTCAAATGGGAAGGTTGCCGAAGAAAAAGAGGTTGCTGACAATAGTCACACTCAGCTGAGAAGTTTGGAGCATTGTAAAAACGGTTTCAAACTGTTCTGGACAATTCTGTCGATTAGCATGAATAGTAATAGTAGAGTAGTAAGCAGCAGATATACGAACCAATGCGTCATATGTGTGCGAGGCTCTATGAAATTGCTGCTAACGTAAATTCTTCTATTTTTTCTTCAAGCCTTCATTTAATTACTGTTGATGATATCCCATCTTTAATTGATAAATTTTTCTTTTCTTCTTTCAGATGCCGTATTTGATATGGGTAAGTTACAAATTTCGCAATCACGCTGTTCCCGTCATAAAAATATCCCAGTTATTCTCCTTTTGTACGAATCAATCATACCTTTGCTGTGACTCTAAAATACTTCTCCATACGTGCAACGGATGGGTAATAATATATAAATAGTAGAACATTGTTAGCGCCTGGACGATCAGGACTAACGGCAGTGGACTGGTTTGAGCCCATAAAATTAAAACATTTGCACCAACAATTATCTGATGTGATGATTGCTGATAGTCGTCACATCTCGTTCAATCTAAATTATCCCCCGTAGCTCTCGATTTAGACGAGTTTTCCCCCATCCACCCAGCCTTCAATGTGCGCTCGATTAATTCAATTAGTTCACTCGAGTCATTAACAACATGGTGAAGCCACCGTTGTTGGTTAAATTGATGTCACATTCACTGCCTCGAGACGCGCTCACATCTTTCTTATCCAGATATTGTTCCAGTTTTGATAACTAATCCCCCTTCCACCGTCAGTCGTCATCATCGGAGTCGTCGTCGTCATCGTAATCTAGGGTATGTTTGCCTGATACGAACGGACGACTTTCTACCAGTACATTTAACAAAATGATGCAACTCATAATTTTTCTAGCTAAGCATAAATAAGACTCTATTTTCTCGTTCCACGGCAAAGTTCGAGTGGTAGGAAACGTAATTTCAAACTGTTCGAATGATGTGACGATTCTTTCGATTCAATTTTTTTTCACTAAATAAATGTGAAATATTCAGGCTTAAAATAGGACAGCATACCCTAGTTGGGGGACCTTTCGGTGCGTTTCTCTTCGTAGGCGGCAGCAACTGCAAACACGTTTTGCAAATTGACAAACAATCAAATCAACACGTTTTCTGCCTTGTGCCCCGAAGAAACGAGATCACCGATGCTCGACTCTAGCCGATGCTTCCGATCCTGCTCTGCAACAATGTTAAACGTCGTCAAGCTTTTTAGAAAATTGAAATTGAAAGGCACGATGTAAACCGGGACCGACCTAGATATCGAAGAACCTCCAACGCGTCACATGATCCTGTTTACATTTCGAATCCGATGATATCGTCTCCCGCAAAATGGTAGAGTCGCTGCATCGGCAGAGAAAATGCTTGCACATCATAATAATAAATGTAATCGATCCAGCCTTGGCACCGATAAGAGTGAACTGTGCTGCCATTCGCATCCTCGAACAACAGCAGCCAATTTCCTTGCGCGCAGGGATAGCCCTGAGAAATCTTGTCCCATGCTTGAAGCTTGTGTGCCTTACAGGCGGCATTACTTGGAACTCACATCGGAGTAGCAAGAATTTAATAGCCTGACGCAAGCCGTTAATGGATGTACATTACTTACTGCTGGGTATGTGTAGAAGTTTACCCTTTAGGAGGCGAAATTGTCAAGGAAACAAGAAGTTGTAGTCTGCAGTGCAGTACTCCACAGGATGCCAAGTGCGAAATCAAAACATGGAAATCGTAGATTTCGGTCGCTCAAGGTTGACACGTGCGTCGTTAATGGAAAGCTATTCAATCCAGTTGTTTGTTTGCTTAACTAGTGTCTTGAAATTGTCGATAATATGCTATACATATATATGGTGAATAATTCATAGATTCTAATTTTTTTTCTCAAGCTTCATTGTGTAATTTTTCATGGTGAATTCATAGGATTTTCAAACCAAGTCCAGTGAACCACAAATACAAGCTCACAGGGGTTCAAAATAAAAATACCGGAACAAGCCCGGTGCACCCTGATGACATATATTCTTCTTTCGTTTTTTTTTTCGTTGGGTTGTTTTCTGTACTGAGTACCAATGCTACCGACGCCAGGAAGGCAGCTCCCACACCTGGACCCTACCTATCGACCCATCAACTCATGCATCGGGAACCAACGGCTTTACTTCCCTTCCGAAGGCCAATTAGGGTATATTCTTCTTTCAACCTGCCTTTCCTCGATTTGACAACACAAATTCATACTCAAGATCGTGCTAAGCGTATATCAGAGAGAAAGCTGCAGAATTCTGTGATGTCAATGTTAAAATCAAAGTAACTCTAAAAACATGATAACTGGTGCGTATATTGACTGCCTCGCACCCATTGGCCACATCATAACATGTTTCTGGTGTTTCCTGGAAATGGCCCATAACATCCAGAAATGTTGCAGTTGCTCCCAAAGAAGTGTTTAAAAATGGATTTTACAAGCTCCTTTGAGATTGCGAGACTATTCACAACGTGTAAAGTTGAAGCTGCGAGTTGAATCGACGCAAAAATGATTCCGTTGCAAATCGTTTTCTTAGAAAGAGAAGGTATAGTAATGCTATCTCGTTTTTTCTTCAGCGATGGCAGACACGAAGCGACCGCTGCCAGCCGTTATGGAAGTTTCGATTGCGTTCGGGTGTAAAGCAAAAATCATGAAACTCAATCTCACCCAAGGGGTTGGTCACTCTACCCGAGCAAAGTCCAGCATCAAAATGACAGCAAATTGAAATCAAGTTTTCATATCAACATCAAACTGAAATCCTAATTTGATTTCAGTTTATGCAATTGATAAATTTCGTTTTCATTTTGCTGTACATTTGCTCTACAAAAAATATATTGTTGCGAAATCACAACATCAAATTTAGATTTCAATTTGATCTCAGACTTTGCTCGGGCACACAGTGTGCCAAAATCAAACTAGGGCACATCGGGGTGCACTCATTGACGTTGTTTGGCACCCATGGTTACAATTTTTATGATCTTCAAAGTTACTGGCAACACTGAACTTTTTCTGCGCCTGCGCAGTGTGCATGTGTCAAAATTTGTTATTGACGTTGCCACTCCTAGTCAAATTATTTTCAAAACAACCGTGAATCTCCACCAAGTCTCGCCATGGATTCTCAAAATCGTTACAACCGTGACGGCAGTCGCATCCACATTTCCTCTCATACGAAGAACAGCTGACAGCGGTATCTTGACCCAACCGAGGTTTCCGGCCATGGCAACACGAACTAGCGATGCAGCTCCCACGGCTGCGGCTGCTTCCAATGCTGCTGCTGGTCCGTCTTTTTTGACGAATTTTAGAGGAGACGGACCAGCAGAAGGAACAGCAGCAGCAGCAACTAAAGCAGCAGCAGCATTGGAATCAGCCGCAGCCGTGGGAGCTGCATCGCTAATTTGTGTAGCCGTGGTCGACGCTGGAAATCTTGGGCCGGTCACGACAAGCGGTGCTTGAGTTTTAATCGGAAAGTCAACAACCAAACAAAATCTATACCATCCGACCATTCGAACTGCTCGAATACATCCATTGCGGTGGCTGCTACATCAACCATTCCATCGTCCAACATATAATGTTGGAGGACCGTCTTGGCAAAATCTCAAATAGTTAAACAAATTTTTACTCTCGTTCCTTTTTGCACTTCCAACTAACACAATAAGAAATTATAATTACGAATCATAACATTAACTACCCAGAAAAAGGAAAATCCTTTCTTTTCTCAGAAAATAAGCTTCCGCTCTTTCAAAGCTAACGTATTTTCGGTGTTTTCGTTGCTCCACGCACCGTTCATCTTCTTGGAGGAAGAGAAGCACAGCTTCATATTGAACGGGAGTTTTGTGCATTTGTGATCATCGCGCTGTGGTTGCACTTCATGATGACGTTCACCGCCAGGGCTACGCTTGGGAACTCGACCAATCCGCAGGAGGAACTTCCCGATTTCAGCGGGAACATTCGCACTTGCGACGGGTGGCAGCCCTTGGTGGTGAATGCAGTCAGCAGCAGATCCTCGGACGGCATACGGGTGGTTTATTGAAGAAGTGGAGAATGCGATTATTGCTGGCCTGGGAAGCGATTGTTCTTGGAGGCGCTGTAGACCTTGAAGCTGATCGAATTGTCCTGCAGGGTGTACGGGTTGGTGAACTCTGACAAGTAATTCAGCTTGGAAAATTGGCTGGTCCGTTTCGGGTCAGCGGTGCGTCCTTCATCAGTCCGACGTGTGTTCTGGCCGGTGTTGGTTTCCAGTTTTCCGACGGATGATACTCGGGCGGTGAAAAATTCGGTGCAAATCCATTCCCTCCGCCGACTCCCAGAAGGGTTGGTCGACTAATGATTGACGTTCGTTGTGCGGGGTCGGCCTTCCGCCAAAGATGGAAGGATCGTGTAGCAACGGAGCTCGTCCGTTGCAGGCATCCTTGGAGGCGGATGCATCCAGTGTGTAGTCCCAACTGGAGTCCGTGTCGTTTTTGAAAACATTGAAAAACAAAACAAAAATAAAAGCTGTTAAAATACCGGGTTGCCAAACAAGGCATTATTCACAAGCAATCAAAAGTCAGTTCAATGACTTTTTGACACTGCCGGTACAACGGCGGCACACTGAGGTACACTGAGAAAAAAGTTGGCGCAAAACAAGTGTGTAGAGTGACCACCCCTTGATCTCACCACAGTTTGGTGAGATTTGCAGCTGGTGACTTTTTTTAGCTTGATATTCCGAGCTGCGATATCACAGCTTGCAATATCAATCGCAGTTTATTTATTTATTTATGTATTTATTGTAATTCATCGGACAGTAGTTGTCTTAATGAATAAAACTTAGATAATACACAAGAAAGCAACAGATAAACAGATTGCAACAATAATCACAATCTTCTCAATCGGTTTCGAAATTGATTCGATGTTTCTCCGAATTCAAATGCTTCTTCCATAGCGGAGAATGCCCGAATCATCGCAGACATTGTCTCATGCTATCCATATGCAGTCGATAGAATCTTGGTTGAAGTAAGGATGATTGCCGCAACATCCTTTCAGGAACACGGAAGTTTAATTGTGAAAGCAGTTGAGGGCAGTGCACATCGCCATTTAAAATTTTCGCTACAAATAAGGCTTGTTGAATTTTTCTTCTGTGTTCCAATGTGTCCAGTAGGCATGTAACGATGGGCGAGTGTCTAGAATAAGTTTCTTAAAGAATAGGAAGCTTCTTAAGAATATTATTATAGAATCTTCTTTTGGAAGTAATTCTAGACGCT